GTGCCGGACGACGACGGCGGCACATCTCATCTCATCTGGCAGAGTCCGTGGGTCTCCCGCGCGGCGTCTTCTGGGCATGCAACATGTTTCCATCACCCGTTTGGTTGGGCGCATTGCCAAGGAAAGCGGCGAGCACAAGAAAGGCATAATAATGGAGTAATACGACTAGTGGATACCGGGTACTTGAGGTTGCTATTAGTCCTAATGGATTTGGGATCATCAGTATTTCGACCTCAAATTGTGTTGAGTGCTTTAAAGAACTCAATTTCTAATATAAAATTTAATTTCCTCTTGTATAAAGCTTTTAAACAATTAGTATTTTATATTCCTTCATTGATAATCAAACCAAAATAAAAGGCTTACTGATATAACCTTTTATTTTGTAAACAAAAGAAAAGTAGTTCTCTAACCATAAGACCCAAAAATCTTTATAGAACTGCTACTCACCCTAACAAGGTACTCTATATATATGCCTTATGTAGACAAGGTCCGCTATGCTTACTTATGTCTGCCATATTAATCAAAAAAGCAAAAAATAATGGAATATGCTTTTCTACTCTCCGAGTACCGCGCATAAAAGACAAACGTCAGCCAAATAGTAGCCTAAAAAAAAATCTAAATACACGCGTTCGACGGCAAGTACATATTCCCAAGCAAAACTGTTTATAAATATATACGTGTGTGTTCCTAGAACAATATTTACGGATCTGTATATGAACTTACGTAATCTAAAACACTATTGTAACCTGACCTAATTGGAATGACCTCCTCACAGGAACAAAAAAGGGGAAAGCCAGAAAGACATAATAATACCTAAGAATATAGAAATAGATTTTTGATAAAATTGGAGTTGATGGGAGATTAAGAGGCTGCAGTTAACTTAATTATGTTTTATTTACGAGGAACATGGCTTATGGCTTGTTTTTTTTTACAGACTATATCTCCAAGGGACTCTGAAAATGGAAAAGTTAAGATACCCGAAAAGAGGAAAACAGATGATAATGATCAAATCAAGGAGTTAAAAAAGGTAAGCTTACTATTTATAAAATATTTAATATATACATACATATATGTATATATCATGATACTGCATTGTGTAAGTGTGACCATGCCCCTCCTTCTTCTCTTTTTCTTCTTTTGTCTCTTTCTGTTAAAAGAAACAATGCAGTGTCAGTACTCAGTTTACTCAGTTTAATTTACATTCGCTTCTCACGCCAAGTTAATTTTAATCAAAACTCATATATACCTTTTTGAAGGCTAAGCTCGAGACAAAAGCATTGAAGGCTAAAAGACCCGGATTTACGGATGAGAGATATCAAGAAACCTCCTACTATATGGAAAATGGTTAGTCACTCAATACTACTCGACCTATCCAATAAATATATATACTAAAACGAAACGAATACTCGTAGGTCTTCGAAAGGTCTATCCGTACTACTTCACATTCACAACCTTTACGAAGGGCCGTTGGGTGGGCGAGAAGATACTGGATATCTTTGCGAGGGAGTTCCGGGCACATCCTGCCGAGGAGTATGAACGCTGCATCCAAACTGGCACATTGACAGTTAACTTTGAGAAGGTTCCCATTGATTATCGGCTGAAGCATAATGACTTGCTGGCCAATATAGTTCACAGGTAATTAAAAATTAAACGCTTTTCCGCAATGCCAACTAACCGTGGCGATGCGAGTGATTGCAATTGCAATTGAGTTTTCCGTGTAATTTCTTTATAATGTAATTATTCATGTATGTGTATATGCATATATGTATGTTCCATCTCATTAAAATCGTCCAAGTCTTGTAGCATGTCATGTTAATAATTATGACTTCATCAATAACAAAATACCGTCAAAAGTTAATGACTTGCATAACTCACACAAAAAGAATAAATTTATAATTACGTGAGTTCAACATCAAGCCAGTTTCATCTTTTTATTTTTATCATTCATAATCCCTAAACTTTAATCGATTAAGGAAACTGGGAAGTAAGTCCCAATAAAGTTGCTAGCTCCCAACTCATCTTAATCGTATTTCTGGTCTCTTAAGTAACAACAGCAACACAGAGATGAAAAGTATATATAAACTAACACGAGTTTCATGGCTATCTTTACAGACACGAGGTGCCCGTGACTTGCCAACCAATTAAAATTGTGCATATGGATGAGGACATTGTAGTTGTAAATAAGCCAGCATCGATACCTGTAAGTGGCTTAAACGACCGCCATTTTACACATACTATATATATTATTATACCTGTACTTTCTGTTATCAATGACCGAGAAAGTCTACTTCAAAGTGTATATTATCTATCATTACTTCAAGTACCCTTACCTAAGAATTCCTTCTTCCATGGCCTCTTTTCAGGTGCATCCCTGCGGTCGCTACAGACACAACACTGTGGTCTTCATTCTCGCCAAGGAGTTTAATCTCAAGAATCTACGCACAATCCATCGGCTGGACAGGCTGACTTCTGGCCTTTTGCTCTTCGGACGCAGTCCCAAGAAGGCAAGACAAATGGAGCAGCAAATACGCAATCGTCAGGTGGAAAAGGAGTACATCTGCCGCGTTGAGGGAGTTTTCCCCGAGTAAGCTAACCAACTCAGTATCTTATTATATTAACTAAAATTTCCAATGACTTTTCAGCGGCATTGTGGAGTGCAAGGAGCCCATCGAAGTGGTTAGCTACAAGATAGGCGTGTGCAAGGTATCGCCAAAGGGTAAAGATTGCACGACCACCTTCCAGAAACTGTCGCAGAACGGCACCACCAGTGTGGTGCTCTGCAAGCCACTCACTGGGCGAATGCACCAGATAAGAGTACACTTGCAGTATTTGGGTAAGTGAGAGCCTTCACTCTACTAAAGCATTATATTATTTATTATAATATAATTGTTATAACCCCTCTTAGGTTATCCCATTCTAAACGATCCCCTTTACAATCACGAAGTCTTCGGTCCTTTGAAGGGACGTTCTGGGGATATTGGTGGCAAGACAGACGATGAACTTATACGAGATCTCATAAATATACACAACGCTGAGAACTGGCTGGGCATAGATTGTGATTCCGATATATCCATGTTTAAGAACTCCAAGGATGAGACCGATGGCGAAAGTCTTAGCAGTGAACACACTTCCGGTGGGTTTAATTACTACTTTTATATGAAAAGCTTTTTAAATAATTTAAATCGAATTAAATTGAGTTAAATTTTGAAATATTTTAAATAAATTTTGAATTTTTCCCCACTTCTAATCTTATTTATTTTTAACTTTTTTAGTGGTTCACCATAGCGACGATGATGCGGGTGTAAATTCCCGTGAAACCACACCTCCTTGCCTTGACACCCAGCAGCCGCAGCCACAGCAGCCAGATCTAGGTGTGAAAACTCCCGAAAGCACAGTCAAGGAATATCCCATTGCCGCAGAGAAGTCTTCCACGGAGATAATGCCGCCTGCCCTGCAGAGTTCTAGTTCCATGGAATCTGTTGTGAGTGCCACAGGAGGAGGATGTAAGCTGAACAAGATCAGCGTAGATGAGCATTGCTACGAGTGCAAAGTGCACTACAGAGATCCCAAGTCGAAGGATCTTATTATGTATCTGCACGCTTGGAAGTACAAGGTGGGTCATTGGCTTTATATTGCAGAATTCCAAACTAAATTTTATATATTTTGAAACAGGGACCCGGCTGGGAGTACGAAACCGAGCTGCCCAACTGGGCCTGCACGGATTGGGACCATTTGGACTCGACATGAGGACACCCTTCTACTACTTAATATATATTAGAAACAACAGACCAAAATCAGCAACAATATCGATACATATATATATCATAATTAAAAGATGTGCCTTTAAGATTGGATAGCATGATGCAAGCGCTTCAGTTAAAAGCATTATACAAATAATATTTATGTACACAAGGTCGTAGTATAAATCCTATAGAAGAGTTCACACAATCAAATCACAAAAAAAAAAAAATATATATATATAAACATATATAGGCTAATTACAAGAGCTGAAAAGACGTGCAAATAAATTCGAAGCTTTTATTACAAAATATAATAGGTATATTTATATGTATACACAAGACATGCACTTATCCGAGCTAATCAGATATGTGAAAGGCAATATAATTATATTATATATATAATCGGAATAGACAACTTTTAGAGAAATTAGTTTATATATATGTATGAGTGTGTAAATCAAGAGTATATTCTCAAACAAAACAGGATATAAAGTAAATTTTACAAATGTTTCTTAGAAAAATATATTCTACGTTTTTACTTTTATGGATATCTGGCTTCCGTTGGACTTAAAGTAAATACTAAATCCCTGAAAGTCCCTAAGTACGTACAGTGTGTGCCCCCTGCCCTTAGCCAGCTGCCAACTTTTTTCATTAAAATGGATTCCCGCTTTCTACTTCAAAACTAATTGTTGAATTTTTTATTACCACGGGCAAGCGGCCACTGCCATATATACTTATATATGCCACTAGCTGGACTTTTACTACTCATTACTCAGGGCATACAAGAGCTTATGAATGTACAGAAAATTCCCACTAGAAAGACCAAGTACAGGGCTTCCCCTAGTCGAGGCCACTCACCAATGATTTCTTTTCTTGTTTGTTATTCAGCAATGACTGCAGTCTCTGCATCACACATGCATAAATAACCGAATGTAAGTATGGTCCCCTAGTTCCTTAATTAAAAAAGGGGCTTTACAAATTAATTTGCACTCAACCCCCAATTAAATATGTATGCACGAAAGGCACAAAAGTCATGCAATAAAAAACATACAATATTAGAAAGACGTGTAACCTTTAAGACCGCCAGAAATATAATATATTTTTTAGAGGCGTTTTTCTTTTGAAAAATATATAACATCAATGACTGTTGTATTTTAAAGTAAGAAGGATTTGGAATACTCAGAAATTACATTGTTTGAACTCCCAAAAATCGTCGTGTATGAGTAATGGATGTGTAGTATTTCGAAACTTCATTAAACATTGTTTAAAAGTATTTATTTATTAGTTCAAAATTTCGTACAGCTTTCTTTAAGCTTCCTTCAAATACACAATAAAAGTGCGTATCTCCATGGGACTCAGTTCTATAATAAACTCTTGGCTACCATTGTCTGCCTTGGCTGCCTCATCTGCATTGAGCTTGGACTTACGGTTCCTCTTGGTCTTCCTAACTTCTTCAGTGGTCACATCTCGCTTGACACGGTTGCTCTGAGCTCCCAATTGTCCAGCTGGCAAGGCTTCTTCGGCATATTGAACGCCAAGCATAGGTTTCGCGGCACTCAGCAAGTGAACTGCCTTGGCTTGAGGCTCATCAAAGGTAGCATAGGTGTTAAAGGCCGCTTGTTCGGGATCCGGAGCGAATTGAAGGCGATGAGTCTCGTCCAGCCAGGCATTGCCGTCCAGCGTGGTTTCACGCATTCCCGTGATCTCAAAGGAACTGAGGACGTTCTTGACATTGAACTGAACAGGCTTGGAGTACAGCTCGTCCTCATTGTTCTCCATAATGTGCTCAAAGCGGACGAGTAGCTCATTTTCATGCCAAGGCTCGAGGGTCATAAGGTGGACGGCCTTGGGCAGAACTAGGGATACGCCACTGAACTGTAATTAAAAAAAATATAACAATTGAGAATGTTGTTAAACTTAAGGTATCAAATTTTTTTCTCACAGCATTTGTAAAGGAAGTGCGCCACTCTTCGGCGGTGTAGGCCTCCATGTTGCTAAAGAATTTCCATGTGGGCAGTAGCTTCTCCAGTTGAGTCAAACGCTCCAGGGCCTTGAGGGACACACCTTCGCGATCGGAGGACTTGCCAAAGAAGAGCTGATGCTTGCCCCGGGCTATTAAACCCTCTCCGAACTCCGTCTCATTCAGAGCCTCGCCCACGCCGAAGGCATCATCCCGTAGGAGACGACGGTGCACCATCAGTTCCAGGGAACCATCCTTAAGGGAGCTGCCACCCTGGGCTCTGTCTGTGAGTATAGCCAAGCGGGCAGTGTCATCCTCTAGGTCTATCTTGGTCGTTATGGGATAGTAATTTCCAGCAACAGCTTCGTTGATCTTCACAGACCAAGTTTCGCGGTGATTGAGTTGCCTCTTGATCATTTCACGTCCTTTAAAAAAGTATTATTAATTAGAGTTTAAAGATATAAATATTTGAAAAGTATAATTACCATTACAATCGGTGTGGAATATGCCCTGTGATTCAATATCAGAGTTAAAGCGTGTGATAACCTCCTTGCCAATGCCGTCCTCAATGGGAATTGGTCCGACCAGCCACTCGAACTCAGCAAAGGAGTCCTTGGCATACACTCGCACCACCTGGCTAATCCAATCGTTGAACTTCTGATGGACCTCCTGGACCAAGTCACCTTTGTACACTTCAATCTCAACATGTTCGGTGGCAAAGTGCAGCTTGTTTTCGTTGGGACGGAAGATGTACGCTCCAGAGGATCGGTTCAAGAACTCGGCATTGTTGCCAATGGCACCTTCGTAGAAGAGGAAATCTTGGCTAACGAATTTGGTTAAGCCATCTGCTGTGACCTCCGAGAGGAAGCCATTGGTATCGAAGCCCAACTTGATGTTCTGAAAAAGGAAACCCATTTAAGATTGTAAAATAAAGTGAGTCTGAAAATATAAACTTACACTATTTCCAATTACTGTTACGCTGGATTTATTCTTGGGCAGCAGCCTGGGCTGCTTGTAACCCTCACCACTTTCGGTCTTTTCTATATAATAAGTCCTATAACCCAAGGCTGGAATATTGGTGGCCAAGAAGACCAGTTCGTACTTGGCAGTCGAAGCTCTGTGCTTAATATTTATCAAGGCGGCTGGTATAGGTACTGCTTGGGCTTCCAGAACAGCTCCTAAAAGGTGGAATATAGTAATTTAATATATCTTTAATAGTCCCCAACACTCACCCTTATTATCAATAATTTTATAGCTGGTATCTGGCACTGGAATCCTCACATATTCACTCACCACATGAGCCAAAGGATTGTACAGCGTCAGAGTGAATCGATCGTTCTCCTCGGAAACAGGACAAGAAGTGATGTTAAGCAAAGGACACGTCTTCATATCCAACTTATATTTGGCGTCCTCAACCCGAGCGCTTCCTGGTGTGGACAATTGATTCAACACATTCCTGGTGGTGGCACCACAGGCCCTGAAGCTAACGCTTAATCGCTTTGCATAATCCAGGGCCACCTTCTCCTTCTCTGTTCCTGTGATGGCATCATGGTGCTGCATGATTCCGAGAGTTTCGCGCATAAAATTCAAGTGGGGTTCGAACTCCACGGCTTTCTTGGGAGCCAAGGCACTGAGTTGCTTGCAAACTTGCAGAAAGTGATTGCCATCACGCTCGAATCGCTTCAAGGTGGGACGCGAGGTAAAGTAACCCGTCCAGTAGGCATGCGGATCGGAGGCATATGGGAAGAAGTCATCGCTCTTCTCGGGCCAAGTAATGCCGGCATCGTGCAGAGATTTTAGATAGCAAGAGGGTGTGGAGTACAGAAGGTTTATCTTGGAGCCATTCGCCTGACGCTCGTTGGCATATCTGGGAAAAAGGAGGATTTAGAAACCTTTCTCCTTGGCCACCTGAAGCCACCCGAGCTGAACTCTGTCTAGGAAAGCCCCTAAGTACTTACTTAATCAGCTTATCCAGATTCTTGTACCACATGTCGGCGTTCTGATAGTGGAAATCTTCGCCCATGGTTAGGATCAAGTTGGGAGTGCGATAATGTTCCGCCATTTTGGTAACATATTCAAAGAAGGCATCAACCTGCATGTTCGTTCAGTTAACAGGACTTTTTAGGCTAACGATGGACGGCACACACACAGAACATAATTTTGAATATTTTTTAGGGGCTTTCTTCAACAGTCAGCGGGGTGACGAAACATGGAATTACCGTATTAATTTGTCAAGATTCTTGTAATAAATCTGAGCTGCCTGGTAGGTGAAATCACCGCCCATTGTGATAATGATATTGTTGGTGCGGTAGTATTGGGATTGGGTCTGGGCAAAGTCCAAAAATGCGTCGACCTGATAAAGCGGGAGGGCGGGAAGGACACAAACAAGGTACAAAACAAATGATCCAAACCAAAAGCCATAAACACTAAAAGGCCTTAAAGTCTTAAATAAAATCTTACGCGCTCTTTCACATTATTATCGGGGCTGTGTTTGCCATCAATAATGGGGGCATCGCTGCAAAGGACATCAAAACAGAAGCCATCTGGGGCCTGGTAATTGTTGTACAGAGCTCCACTGAACAGATCAGTTTCCTCTCCTGAAAAGAATAATGCCCCTTGAAGCTATGATTAGAAAAAAGGATGAGGAGGTAGTACCCAGATTGGCCGATCCATGCCATATCATCTCAGCATTTTTGGTCATAAGACGGTTATCCTTATCCTGGTAATCCAATCGCCCAAAGAACATGCCATCAAAGCCCATCTGGGCGAACATCGAGGCCATTTCCCTGGAGTGACCGAATGGATCAATCTGCCAGCCTACGCGCGGACGTCCACATTCGCCAAAAGTATCATTCAGCATCCTCAGTCCCCAGGCAAACTGATCAATCACACTCTGGTAATGGGTCGTCGCCTCGTCGTTCATGCTCCAGGCACCGCTAATGAACTCCAGTCTTCCCTGATCCACCAGCATCTTTACAGCATCTTGCACCTTGGGTGTCTGCTCCTTCCACCATTTGAAGAAGAAAGCGGATTCCACATAAATGAAACGTTTCTCTGGGTCTCTCAGCAGGGCCTCTACGACCGAATCGATAATGTATTGCACTCCTGCCTTCTGGATTAGAGTTTCGCTGCCATAATAATATTGATCGACCGTCTTTAGCCAGCCGACATCGTCATGAGTGTGTGCCACCAGATGCACATTCAACATATTGGGTTTTGTGGGATGACAGCTCTGGAAATTTAATTGAAAAATGTATTATATTGTGGCGATCTTTAAACTAAATTTATTTTAAATTATAATATATATGTCGGCGAGTTGGTTGCTAAGTGCAAATTTGGAAAGCTTGTTGCTATGGCAACAGAGTTATTCGGCATGCTCAGGTATTGGTAGCCCTGTAGGTGTCGCTGGCGCGCAGGCGCAATGACAGTTGAGTCGGTAACAGGAGTGTTACTGAGTGAGGTCTGTTCGTCTGTCGCAACAATAGGAGAGAATGAGAGAGACAGCTTGAGATTGTCTAGGAATGACATCTGAGTGAAAAGTAAGAAAAGGTGAAAGGGCCACAGGAAAAGTGGCGTGATGACAGATTCGATTTGACTGCGCAGGCGAACAGAACTCGCTGGCTCGACTACGGTTAAATTAAATAACGGATATCTCCGACATCAGAAGTGGGATTCACCATAGCCTCGCGGGCATTCTGATAAAGTGATTTTCGGTCGATATTAAATTCAGTGGCGCATCGAAGGCTTGCGCAGCCGCGTGGTGCGAGACACCGGAGTCGTGATAGGCAGTCAAATGCACTGGTCGCGTGTTGAGCCGGACGGTTGCAAGTGTCATCAGTGTCGGCCAGAAAATTTGGGGAAGAATGGAAGACAACAACAACAGCACACTGGCGGAACTGCGGCTGAAGTGCGGAGAGCTGGAGTGACGCACTTCAGGCGTGATAACGGTGGTCACATTGCATCTGTGTGCACGAGATGGGTATCAGCGGCTGCGAGCGGCAGCATCAGCTGCATGTAGAAGCGAGTTGATTTGTGTGATTCAACAGTGACAGTATCGGGTGAGCCCTTTCCAATTATTCTTTGATTTGGGAGCTGAATTGGCTAAAAGATGGGAATAGAGATGTGTTTGATTGCAGTGTTGTTTGCACATCTGCCTTCCCATTGGCGAGCCCTGTGCTACGATAGGTTGTGCTTAGACTATCGGAAGCAATATTCGAAAATGGTTTCGGACAGTGGCCTTTGCCGCTTATGTCAGACCCTGTGAAGGAAAAATGTTTCTGTTGAAAAATAATTAATTTAAAAAAATTACGAGTTGCCGTCTGTTTGGTCTGCCGTGCCGTTTGGTTTGAAGAGTGCATCTTCTACCTTCATCATGCAATTGTTAAGGCGTTTGGAATTTATCATGATTATTTGCGATAGTTTACATAGATGCATGTTAATCATGGCAAACTCGGAAGAAAAGGCTTTCCGAAGGCTGAAGGTTGTATTAAATGTGTTGACTGTACCAGAGTTGCCATTTAACGTTACCAAATGTGGGTTTCTTGAACCTACTACGCAGTATCTGAGCTATGAGGTGTGCGGTGGAGAAATCAGACCCAATTCCTAGAAAATCCTTACGTTAAAGGTCCGTCCTTTTAATCGGTGCAATTAAGAGACCGTCGTAAGACCATTTATTGAATTGGTGCCTTATTTTCAAAAACGTGTGCCTCGATTTTCTCAGATCATGAGACAGATTCTTCGGCTTCAAGTATCTTTAAGTGAAATGACGATATTCAGAAATTGGAACGAACGTTTTTAATATTATTACAAATGAGCCTGTAATCGTTATTTGTGGGTTCGAAACATCTGATCAAATTTGAAACAGATATAAGCTCTTGTGGATATGGTCCAATGCTAATACACCTAATTAATGGAGACCCTTATGTTGGTGGATATATTGGTAGAACTATGTGTCTTGTGGAGTCCAAGTAGCCTTTGTATGAATTGGAAATATTGGTTGGCGTGCAATTATTCTGACATTTTTGGCATTGTTTGCTCAGATGAGAGTTTGTAGTCTATACTTATTGCAGATGTAATCATTTCTAAACAAAAAAAAAAATTAACTGAAGTGCATCATAGAGTAGAGGAAGAGAAAGCGCAAGGCAATTGTGGAATTCTTTTTGTGTCCAGAATTCACATGACTGATTTAACTCCGATAAATAAAAATAAATTGACAGAAAAACGTCTGAACTTAGAATGGAAATCTCAAATGACCGACTGATCAACTTCAGGATTCAGGATTTATTGGTATATAAACAACTAAAAATAATTGAAATTAACTTGAGTTACGAAGAGGGATTTTAAAGAATACAGAGAGGTGTGAGGCAATGTTATCTGCCAGTAGTGTCCCTTAAATTTTGTTGGATAGTTATTAATCAAGGTTATAAATCCGTTATGTGTTTGGATTGGAAAAAATAGACTCAGCAATATTTATCAGAATTGTTGGAAATGACTAAGTTTAAAGATTGTTGAAAATTGTATCATGTGTAAAGTTGTAAAGTAGTCATCTGGCTGGATACCAGGACCGCAGAGGTGATGGGAAGATGCTCTTGGCGGGGTGCAACTTGCGGCGAACTGCACAGTTAGTAGTGCAACCAATGCAAGCCCTTAAGAGATGCCAATCGGACCCACCCTTTGGGCTTGATACCACCACATGACACAGAGAAAAGTATAAAGAAAGAGAAATTTAAAGTTACGTTATGCCGGTTCGGTAAAATTATGGAAGTAAGAGCACAATTTTGTTAAGGCAAGATTAACTTAAAATGGATAAATTGGAAATTGAAATTGTTACGAATGAGAGAGAGGAGAAAGAAAGAGATAAAGAAATGAAGATGGAAATCGGTACATTTTAAAATCCTTAACAAGCAAAAGAACTTATAAGTATGCGCATGAGTTTTTGAGGGCATTGCCAAATAGACAAATAAGCAATCACGTTGATTGATAAAGATTTAGACGACTCAAGTGGAGATGCGTCTGATTCCCATGTGGGGAATGATGATATGGATGGCACGGTTGATGCCTTGGAATCCCAAGAGGGGATATAAAGACCGCACCATAACAGAAGGAATTGTTATGGCGGGGGTCAGTGGAGACCGCACCATAACAGAAGGAATTGTTATGGCGGGGGTCAGTGGAGACCGCACCATAACAGAAGGAATTGTTATGGCGGGGGTCAGTGGAGACCGCACCATAACAGAAGGAATTGTTATGGCGGGGGTCAGTATGTGGGTGTAAAAGGAAATACACCAGTTGATAAAGCTATGTAATTAGAGAAGTCTGAATTGTAAATTATGATTAAAATGAAGATGTAATTTGTTATGTTATCATGAAACCAAGATGCTTATTTTGTCTAAATGCCTCAATACTTATGTTTAGAAAATTAATGAAATGTTTGTTGACAATAAAATGTAACGAGTACCGAAATTTTAGAATACTGTGATTTAAAGTTAACACACGAGGACGTGTGATTTGTCAGGAAGGCCGTGTCGGATCACATGAAACGGGGCCTACTTTATTCCTATGGTCAGAATATGTGAAGCGGAGCCTTTTGAAATACGAAAAGAGCTTGTACTCTATGGTTTCGAAAGGTTATCCTGCCAAACTAACATTTGAAGACACTAGAAGTGTAAGCGAGAGATCGCCGACTGAGGCACTCGTTGGTGGAATCATTTATAAGGCTGTGAGGGTCCAGAGAGACCGTGACGCAAGAGGTGCGTGTGAGCGTTGCAAAGTGTGCAGCAAGAGCCTGTATAAATTGATGAAGAGATGTTGAGTAAGAGTTGTGGTACGAGCAGAGAAAGAAGATACAGATTTGGTACGAGAAGAGAATGAAGTGGCGAGAAGAAATAAAAGTAAAGCTTATTTGACATGAATAAAACAGATAAAATGAAATGTTAAGTTGAGACCAAAGAGAGAAAAAAGAGAGAATGATAAATGACAGTTATGTTTAGAGCTATTAGAAGACACGTCACGCGAGGACGCGTGAATTGTCAGGATGGCCGTGTCGGCGAGTTGGTTGCTAAGTGCAAATTTGGAAAGCTTGTTGCTATGGCAACAGAGTTATTCGGCATGCTCAGGTATTGGTAGCCCTGTAGGTGTCGCTGGCGCGCAGGCGCAATGACAGTTGAGTCGGTAACAGGAGTGTTACTGAGTGAGGTCTGTTCGTCTGTCGCAACAATAGGAGAGAATGAGAGAGACAGCTTGAGATTGTCTAGGAATGACATCTGAGTGAAAAGTAAGAAAAGGTGAAAGGGCCACAGGAAAAGTGGCGTGATGACAGATTCGATTTGACTGCGCAGGCGAACAGAACTCGCTGGCTCGACTACGGTTAAATTAAATAACGGATATCTCCGACATATAGTATATGAGCTCTACACATATGTTAGCTTATCAATGCAAAAATTCCGCTTTCAAATTATAATTAATTAGATCGAGTGCCTGAGGTCGATATTAAGAAAGTCCTAAAGGCTTATCAATCATTTATATATAATTATATCGTATATAAAAGCTTTATATAAGGTTGCATCTATCACTATACTTTAATTATGAAACTCACCTGATAACCGCACTGAGAGCCCTCTTTTTGAATACTTCGCAAATCTGCATTATGTATATAACCAGAGACACACAAAAGTGCAAGCCACACAGAAATCTTTCCGGACATTATGGAACTTCTTCTTTATTTATAATGCATTCAATTCTTTTTTTCACAAAATACACAGTGTCAGTATGTAATAACGCTCACGCACCCTGAGGTAGAACCCACGACTTTCTGATTTCCCAACGAAGAACCACCGATCGCATCGGGTTCTCAAGGCGGACTGTTCGCAGAGAGAAAGCAAACTCAGCTCGAGACCCGAGAACCCTACTTGGGAATCTTTATTGCCATATGTATATACATATAAATACAATACCAGGCGGCGCGAGAAATTGAGCCAGTATTCGTACATATGTTTGTACTTAGAGCGTAGATACATACATATGTACGAGTGCCAAGGGAGAACTGACTGATACGGGCTTTATAGCAATTTCTACATGCTCGTTTGAGAGTAGTGTTCCTTTTGAGATTGCGCCCGCCAGCCAGGCTCTAGGTTGATCCATCTTAATCATTCCCACACACTATAAACCAGTCGAGTACTTAATTGGTTTCTGAAAACCTTCCACACACGAATGCATGTGGGCATGATAGTGTTAAAATAAGGCATGTTGCTATCTGGAAAAGGGTCTGGAGTGGTGGTGCACTTCAGAAGCAGGAGGTAATAAAGCCAACACGAGTGTTTCGAACTACAGATATCCAGTAATCGACTTTAATCTTGAAAGCTAATTAAGTTTGCCAAAGAAATGTTCCTTTGCCGTTGTTTCAATTCAGTTTTTTCGCAGCGGAAATGTAATTAAGTTACCGTTAAATTTTGATTTCAGCGGTAAAATAAAATAAAACGTTAGTGTAAAACTTTCCTTACTTCAGTCATTGAGTGTATTTGCTTGGCGTTGGTTTTCATCTGGTTTTTCAAGGAAATAGGCTGCAATTTTAATTACAAATCATTTATACAGATATAGGAAAGGAAAGAACTCCCAGGTATGTTTAAAAAAAAGTATAATCATAAGCGGAAAAAGATTGAAATATACAAACACGAGCCTCAAATTTACGTCCATAATTTTGTCTTTTTTTGCACATTTACACAAACGCATTAACAAAAGAAGAGAATTTATGTTTACACACACAAAAATTGTTTACCTTTACAATATTCTGTATATATTCTTCAAACAGAAAATGAGCTTTAATTATAGATGCAAAACACACGTTCCTCATTTAATATTTTTGACCGCTAAAATGAGATTATATTGATATTTCAAGGATACTGCACGATGACAAGCTTGAGAAAAAATTTAAGTTTATTATGATTAACTAACCACAAACACAAGGTAATGAAATCATAATTCTATTTAAACTGAAGGCATCATCTCCATAAGTAGAGCAAAACACTTAGTAATTCCTTTCAAGAGCTGGTTATAAAAATAATAATGAAAATTAGCTTGTTTACTAAGCCCAGCTCTTTATATAGACCCCGTATTTAGGTACAAATTCATAAAGTCATAATCTGAATAATTAATTACTCGAAATGATTGCAACCAGAGATAAGTATTTTAATGCAAAATACAGGAGTCAATGACTAGTACTAAAACATAAACAAATACTGATAACACCCTATGTAAATACATATGTATATTCAAGATTATATTTTGCGAAATCGAATTAAGGTCTACAGTGTGTATTATTTCTCTTCTATCTACAGTGCATAGCTCGCTGTAAATTGTTATCGTTGCTGGTGCTCCTAAATGGATTTTAATTTGATAATCCCACTCAAGTTAATGCGGTAGCAGCAGTACAAGGTTTATCGCTTCGAGTGGCACATTGCTGGGGTCTAAGGAGTTGCCTCATTTCTCGTTTCATTTTACTCTACTCACCCAAACCGATAAGACCACTCCGTCGAGCTAAGCCAGCGGCAGCAGCGTTCACTGAAATGGAATATTTCTTCAGTCGCCGTCGGCTAACCGTTTTTATCATATGTGTTTTACTGAATTTGGACGTAAACAAGGCTACCTGTGGATTTGAGGTAACAAATTCTGAAGTGGTTAAGCGGAAGTGTGTGTTTGGATCCAAAAATAAGCCCAGCATTTAAATAAGAGACCCGGCTGAAGCTCAATTGCAATGGTGATGTGTATTTTTTCCCAGGCTTAATCCTCAAAAAATATATATTTAATTAAGATTCCAACTGAATCTATTACCTTCTTTCCAGTCATGTCCTGCCACAAAGCCAAATATGATCAATGTCCACTTGGTGCCGCACTCCCACGACGACGTCGGATGGCTAAAAACAGTGGAACAGTATTACTACGGAAGCCACAATAATATCCAGCATGCCGGAGTCCAATACATTCTGGATACAGTAATTGAGGAGCTGCTGAAGGACTCCAGTCGACGATTCATACAAGTTGAGACATTCTTTTTTGCGAAATGGTACTCCGAGCAAACTGAGATCGTTCAGAGATGTGTGAAGAAATTGGTGGCCGAAGGACGCTTGGAGTTCGCCGGAGGAGCTTGGAGCATGAACGATGAGGCGGCCGTGCATTACCAAAGTGTGATAGATCAGTTTAATCTGGGTCTTAAGTGGGTTTCATTATCTAAAACAAATAACTCTTTTAATAAACCAATGCTTATATTTTTCAAGGTACCTAAAAGACATCTTTGGGGATTGTGGACGTCCCACAATTGGCTGGCAGATTGATCCCTTTGGTCACTCCCGGGAAATGGCCTCGATATTCGCCCAAATGGGTTATAATGGGGAGTTCTTTGCGCGTATGGATTTTATGGATAAGAAGAAGCGCCTGAGTGATCTGGAGATGGAAATGATTTGGAAATCAAGTGAATATTCGAAGAATCCCAACATCTTTACCGGCTTGCTCTACAATCACTACTCAGCCCCTCCGGGCTTCTGCTTTGATATTAACTGTGGTGATGATCCCATTATCGATGGCGAAAGCTTTGACAATAACGTTAACAAGAGAGTCAACGACTTTATAGACTACATTAAGACCATGGCCAAGTCGTTTCGAGCTAATCACATAATGGTGCCCATGGGAGATGACTTTCAGTTCTCGCAGGCGGCAGTTAATTTCAAGAACATGGATAAACTTATCAAGTGAGTAGCTCGTTTCATTATTATGATAATCATTATTATGAAATCATTATTATTATCAGGTACGTCAACGCCCGCCAGCTGGAGGGATCTCAGATGAATGTCTTTTACTCAACCCCCTCCTGTTATCTCTACGAGTTGCATCAGCTGCAGCAAACGTGGCCGAACAAGACCCAGGACTTTTTTCCCTACTCCAGTGACGCACACTCCTATTGGACGGGCTACTTCACATCAAGGCCCACACAGAAAGGCTTTCACCGCATAGGCAATCACTTTTTGCAGGTGGTGAAACAGCTCGGTGTCTTGGCCAACTTGACCAGCGAGCAGCATTTGGCAGATCTCGAGACTTTAAACAAGGCTATGGGTATCATGCAGCACCACGATGCAGTCACTGGGACTGAGAAGCAAGCGGTTGCCTCCGACTACGATCGAGTGCTATATGATGCCATAATTGGTGCCGAGAATAATACTCGCGATGCACTTCGATCTCTGACTAATTTAACCTCTGGAGAGTTTGTCAGTTGCCTAAAGCTCAATATAAGTGTCTGCGAGTTTACCCAGAAGACACTTAACAATGTGATTGTAACTCTAGTGAATCCATTGGGACATACAACGACGCAATATGTGAGGATTCCAGCAAAGAATGAAAACTATTTAGTAACCGATGAAAAAGGTAGAAAGCTGAAAAAGAAAAATATTAATTAAATCATTTAAAAATAGGGAAACCTCTCTATTTAACTTCACACTTTTCTTTATGATTTCTAGGTCACGAAATACCCTCAGAAGTGGTCCCTGTTCCCTGGCAAGTCTTGGCCCTTCAACATCGTCCCAATGATACGCGGTATGAGTTGGTTTTTAAAGCCAATGTTGAGAAACTGGCCAACTTCTACATAAGAGTGCTACCTTATCCTAGAACTGAATACCATGATTACTTCTCCATAACCAAAGATGTCTATAACTATCCCGAAGCTGAAGATGAAAACACCGAATTAATTGTACAGAACTCGGTAAGTTAACATTAGTATATTAAAATATATAAAATTAATCATAAATATATATATCTCCAGCTTATAAAACTGGTATTTGACACAGCTAAGGGCGGCCTGAAAGCCATTGAAATGAATGGAGTTACAGAAAATATTCAGCAACACTTTGGCATATACAAAGGCTTTCAAGGCACAAACAAGAAAGCTTTTGACCGATCATCTGGTGCTTACATCTTCCGCCCAGATGGAGACATTGAAATACTAAACAACAAAGTTCAGCTTACCTTCTACAATGGCAGCCGAGTCAAGGAAGTCCATCAGCAGTGGAGCGATTGGATATCCCAGGTGATACGCATCTACGAGGATATAAATCGCGTAGAATTCGAGTGGCTGGTGGGTCCAATACCCGCCGACGACGAGGTTGGCAAGGAGATAATAACGCGCTTTACGAGCGAAATATCCTCAAAGGGAAAGTTCTACACCGATTCCAATGGTCGGGAGATGCTTGAGCGTGAAAGAAACCAGCGGGAGGCCTTTGATCCCGATATGTCAGAGGCCATAAGTGGCAACTACTATCCAGTCACCGCTCAAATCTCCCTCCAAGACGACAAGAAGCGGATCACTCTGTTGAACGACCGATCGCAGGGCGGAGCTAGCCTGGCAGACGGGGAACTGGAGCTAATGTTGCATCGCCGCCTATTAACCGATGATGGCTTTGGTGTGGGAGAAGCTCTCAATGAGAAACAGTACGGAACTGGCCTGATTGCCAGGGGAAAAGTCTATCTAGTTCTTGATTCTGCTGCGGCAAATCCCAAGACAGCAGAACGTTTGCTCCAGCACGAATTGAGTCTGCCCCTGTGGAAGTTCTTCAGTAAATCCAACAAAGGTGTCTCAGTCAACCGACACATGATTCCCGACTTTACCGATTTTCCCCGTTCGGTGGATCTTCTTTCCCTGGAACAGCAGTCAAAGGATGAAATATTATTGCGAGTGGAGAACTTTAATACCGAAGGAAACGTGGTTAGCTTTAACATACTCGCTCTCTTTGAGTCTTTGAGCGGAGATAAGATTTGGGAGACGACTTTGGATGGAAATATGAATTTAAGCGAAGTGAAGAGATTCAAGTTCACTCAAGATTCTTCCGGAAACATTCCTACTTCCGTGGAATACTACAATGCTCCACACAAGCCCCTGGAGGCGGATTCCACCTCAGATGCTTCAGAATTCGTTGTAACCCTGGAATCCATGCAGATTCGTACTTTTATAATCCAAAAAAAGGTCTAACCCTTGACCTTTATTTCACAAATATAACAATATGATTGTGTAAAAATATACTTGTTTCTTTGGAGTTCAACGGCAGGAGCAACATTTCTTTTTTGTTTTTTGCTTTCCCTTTGCCAGCTCTTCTAACTTGCAAATATCAGATTCGAACTGCTCGCCGATCCTTGAACTTCTTAACTTTGCCACAAGACATTGGATCACAAAGCTGAATGCCATTAGGATAACGAGAATACAGCCCAGACTTATCAAAATTATTGGAATATTCCACAATGCGTCCTCGTTCGTGTCTTTTTCGTTTTCCGATCGCTTCATATTTCTCTTAATGAGGGTGTAACACTCATCAACACTTATTAGGTTGTCGCCAAACTTTAGGTGCTCCTTAGACTCAGGTAGGTTGGTGAAAAACTTCGAGCGACTCTGGGCGCAAAAATTATTAAACCAATTTATTGGGTTTTTGTTGCTAGTCGGAATCATTTTTGTATTCATAGTTTTGAAAGCTAGATTTTAAATTGACAATAAAGGGAAATTTCCACAAAGAGCACAGAATCTAATAGAATTTTATTGTCAATGGAATTGTTAATTTACAGCTCTCAATGAAATGTAGTGTGTAATAATAAATCATATTCTGTGAATCACGCACGCAAAGTCACAATATCTACTAATCTTGAATAATAAATGAACTAACAGCAACTTAATTCAATAAAGCGTAAACCAAACGGTCCTTTGTCACGCCAAAGGATTTTATTTGCTCTCTTTACATTAGTATAAAGTATGCCTATATAACATATTTTCTGTTAAAAATCAGCTTTAGTCGTTCGACAAACGTTAAACTTTCCCATAATAAAAATATTAAATTCACAAATTTCATAATATAAAACAAATACTCACAGTTTTTAAAAAAATTACAAATTTATTCAGAAAATGGCTTCTAAGCCCTTTAAGAATCGCCGTTGGCCCAGAGCAATTATTAATTTTATTGTTTTATACTTTGACAATTGCTGCATACACGGTTTTCGATATGTCGTTCAAGCTGTGCTTCTGTTGTTTGAAAGGTGAGTAAAGATACAAAATAAGGAAACAAAAAAATATTTGTTTCTATTTTCAGATTGCTCTGGCTTATCCTGTTGATAGTATCCATATATTTTTGTATTATTGTGAGCCTATCATCTATTCATCGTTATAATACCAAAAGTACACATGTGGGCCTAGAAGTACAAACAAGCTTTTATATTAAATGAATATTTTTATAATAATATTATTTTCCTATAGCGAAACTATCACTTTTGGAATACCACAGTGCCTAGTATAACTCTATGTCCAATGCAGCGTCTTAATGCTTCCTTTTTTGCCAATTATTGTCGGTAATTGCAAATATTTTGAGCATTATAATTATATATCTGTTACTTTACTAATATATTTAAGGGTAAATGGCATTAAGGGACCACAGAAGGCCATTTTATGGGACTTTCTTGAGAACTTGGCCAACTCCACTTACATAAATTTTCAAAACATACCCGAAAGCGATCAGATCGACCAGATAATTAAGGAACTGCGCCTCAAGCCGGAAAACTATATGGAATTAATTTACAACCTAACATACGACAGTACTTACGAGCCGATTGAAAAACAACGCACTCGCAGCATCGATGGACAGGTCAACATTCATGTCCGACAGGTTCTCACCGAGTACGGACTGTGCTATTTGGGGAACTCCAGGTTGGGTGAAGAGTATAGTTCCCGATATTTAATATTTGGAAAATATCCCGAGCCGAATAAGTATGAGGCAACGCGAAAACTTCTGCAATATCAGATTGGTTCGTACTTTGAAAAGGATGTGGGATTCACTTTGCTGAGCTTCTCCAGCGAGGCAATAGATGTGAGTTTATTTTACTTTAAAATTTAAAAACCTTACCACTCTCTCTTCGATCTCTTCTCTTTTAAATAATAAATATAATCATAAATATTATCCTTTCAAGAGCTACATACATTCTGCCTTTGAAGTCATGAAGGTAGATACCAATTTTGGTTATACAACTGAGGGCGTGGTCTACGATCCCGTTAGCGAAGAAATAATTGCTGAGGATAATCTAGAAACGTATGTTTTTATTATCTAAAATAGTTTAATATATTCCTATTTTAATAATTTCTTTAGAGAGACTTCTGTCCAAATGAGAAAGTGTCGCTTCCACCACGAATCCAATCTCACACACTTTCCATTTTATACAAGAAATGTGTGTCAGCAAGAGTGTCGCATTAACTTGGCCTTTAGAATTTGTAAATGCATTCCACACTTTTATCCCAATCGCAGTAAGCGTATAAAATTGATTAAAATTAGTAATAATATTAATATAATTATAATTCCGATAAAGTCGCCAATCCCAAGCCTGTCTGTGACTACAAAACATTGAGGTCTTGTTTTCCACGACATGCCGGTAAGTAAGAAAGACTAATTACTAATTAAGAATAAGATTTGTTGGTTATATATTTAAAAACTAAACTTTTTAGATTTCTTTCTTAAGCTATATGAAGAAAATGAGCATCACGAGAAGCCAGCAACGTGTTACTGCGAACAGAACTGTCTGGATGCCGTAATTACAACTAGATCCGCTTTAGTAAGTCTAAGAAATATAGCACTTGATAATAATTACATAAATGTAATCATTCATTTTCAGCCCATGATAGGTTCCAAGCAATTACTTGGAAGTATTGGCAGCGCTATAACTATTAAAACCTGGCCACAGGTACGCCTCAAGCGTCAAGTTATATTTTCAATGACCGATCTTATGGGTAAGTAAGCGAGCAAAAGGAAGAAGCCTTTCGAATTAGTCTAAAAATAATTCATTTAACGACTTCAAATTTTTAACAATAATTAATTTATGAAGATATCTAATTTCCACTTTCCAGTTTCAATTGGCTCAACGGCTGGTCTCTTTCTGGGATTCAGTGTCTTGGGTCTGGTGGAAGTTCTATACTTCTTTACCATAAGGTTAATCTGGCAAGTATTGGGTTACACCCTCTGAAAGAAAGCAAGCGGATGGAAGTACAAATACTTACTCTTTAATTGATAATTAAAATTCCTTGCACAATTAACCCTCGCAAGTTCTATGAAACCAAACGCTTTGTGTAGTAAAATGATTTATTTATTCTTAAACAACGAAAGTGAAGTCTTCACTTTCGTTTCTTAATTGTTATTTATAAGATTATTTATATAATTTGTCTAACTATTAATTTTTAGTCTCCGTCTGGTGTGTTTTAGTATGTTTTAATGAGAATTGTAATTGTATTATTGAATTGTTCTTTTTTCTTGACTGAATATTTAACTTTTGCAATTCCCTGCAAGCTTTACGTTGAGCTTTAGTGTCAGAAATACATACATATATGTATATTGAAATTAACCACAAATTCATATACGTAAATGATTCAGTTTATAAATTAAGTATGATCCTTAAGGATAAGACTCAAGAAGTACACGAAGTACAGCAATTCTCGCGATAATAATCATAGCTGCACAGCTTGGCTTGGGCAGCCCACTGACAGTTGGCGAACTTATCCGTACAGGTGGGTAAAGTTTCGATTTTTTTCACTTCTGTAGACAAGTATATATAAATTATATTTAGGGATTTTTTATAGAATGGTAGAAAACCTACCTTCCTCGCACTTTTCTGCATTGCAGTTGCGATAAATGGGATCCCTGCTGGCATAACGGCATTGCGTTGATTCCCTTAGAGCGTTCAGCTTGAGGTCGTACTCCAGGCACTTGACGCTGCGTCGCTGGGTGCCACCGCCACAAGGCTTTGTGCACTGTAAGAAAATATGTAAACTTAAAATGTTTTAAAAGTAAAAGCTTGTACCCACCTCCGACCACTCTGAGTAATGCCAGCGGGCAGCGCAGTATTCCACCTCCTCGTGCGAGCACTTTTCAACGGCCTGCGGCTTTAGCTCCGGCTTGCACTCCTTGTGCTCCGTAATCAGTTGGTTTTGAATGCACAGCACCTCCCGGCTCCTAGTCAGGTCAAAGCAATCGCCATTGCAGGAGGACCATGGACCTGTGAACCAATCCCCCACCTCGCAGCTGGGCTTCTCGCAGGGCCGACGACTCTCGGGCGTGGCACTCGGATCGCAGCGCTCTTCCCCTGCCTTGGAGCGATCACAGAAGACGGTGCGATATTCAATCCCGGATCCACACGAGACCGAGCAGTACTGATTCCATTCGGACATGAGCCAAATGGCATTGACAGCCGTCGTTCCATCAATCTTACTCCGCTTCACCTGAGTACTTGAGTTCGCCGAGTCGGCGTTACTACTGCCCTGCAGGCGATATCGGGCCAGGTTACGGCGACGACTGTTCTTGGGACACTCGCATTGCTTCTGGGTCGGTGGCTGGTCCTCCATGCAGGCAGCCTTATCCACATGGATGACCAGTCCGGAGGCCAGCTCTTGGACGCAGCTTATTTCGCGCCGGCGGAAGGCGCCGCTACTCAAGCACCGACACTCGCCCCACTCATCGACCCGCCAGTAGGCCGGACAGGGTTGCGTGTTGCAGTGCAGCAGGTTTTCGTTCAGCACGGGCTTCACGGAGTGCATGCAACGGCGCTGAGAGTAGTAACGCAAGGGGTTCTTGCGAATGCACCGGATGATGGGTGTCTGGGTACCACCGCCACAGGACTTGGTGCAACCGCTGAAGCCAATTACCTTCCAATTAAAGATACGCTTGCGACCAGAGCCTCGGGAGCTGCTCGACGAGCTGGTGTCCTCAGTGCCGGACCTCAACAGCCCGTCACTGCTCTCCAGGGACATTTCGTTCTCCTCCGACTCAGAGATAATGGGCAGCATATACTCATACTTGATGCCAGTGTTGTTTGGTGTTTTCGTGTAGACCTTAATATTGATTAAAAATATTAAACATTAAGTACTAAGATTAAGAAAATAGCTACAGTTTGAAATCCTTTTAAATTACGTCTATAAATGCTATAAATTATTTGAACAACATGAATTAGTTATTTTAATAAATTTTAAGGGAACTCAAAACCCTAGAACTGGAAAATTAAAGACCTATATTTATCGCTTTAAAAATTTAATTTGTTATAGCTGTAACTACTATTAAATACCATAAGTTGTAGTGACTCCCTAATAGGTCCAATACTCGTTATCCATTCGGTAACTCCATTGCTGTCATGTGCTCCATCGATTCGATGATAGTCGAAGGTGGCACCAACGCCTTCATAGGATCCACTCTCCGAAACCGCATTCTCGCCATTAAATATAGAGTCCTCCTTGGATGTTCGCAGGACTTGGACCGCAATAAAAGGGTTTTAAATAAAATATATATATTTTTCTTAATAAAATATCTTAGCAAAGCATTACCTAGCAAGTTGATGCTATTTTTAAGTTCCGTTATCGAAATATTGGAGGCACCGACAGGTAGGGTTGTGACGTGTACATAGGCATGATCCGGCAAGGGATCTCGCGTGAAGATTCCCGTGACAGGTCGACACAACAATCCACCACAACTCACGGAGCCGCTGTGGGCATACAATCCATCAATGTCACCACTGGCACGGACGGCCTACAATTAGTTTGGATTTTTTTTTTGGTAAGAAAATCAGAACCAATTACGTTTTACTAAATTAAATTTCAGCTTTTGTACTTCAGGATTCCTAAGAAACCCAATTTTTACTCACCAGCCACAGTAATACTATGAGTTTTAACATCTCCGTACCTTGGAAATATTAATTATTTTTATTTCTTGACCCCTAATGATAAAATAATAAGCCGGCATAGTTCCATTAGATAATGTGAAGGACTTTCCAGCGATTATTTTAAGAATAAACATTGCCTTTATATAATCTATTAAGTTCATGGCAAAGCGATCTATGTGAAATTCCTGGGGCTTTGCAAAAACATTATTTATTGGCCACTTATTAAGAGAACAAGATAAACAAAATATAAACGAGCGTACCAAATATACATTCAGTGGTATTAAGAGGGCATATGTTCGATAAAAAAAATTGCTTTCCTACGCACAACTGTGCGGCAATGTGTGTTTACTAAAATAATTCATTGAAATTAAGCTCATTGGACGCGTTCCAGTTTTCACTTTCACAAAAATTATTTCCCATTTGATTTGTTGACCTAATCCCGTTCTCAAGAACCAATTTAAAAAATGACGTTTCGGTTAGGTAAGATTAAAACATTTTAAATACTGAACGCTGAAGCAATATTAAAATAGATTTTCAATTTGTACAGTCATAAATACATAAAAAAAAGGAAACTAAGAAACTTGTTGAATATGAATTAATAATAAATAAAAGTAAATAATTAAAAAAAATAATTAATGGAAACACGAAAGACACATTAGATATAAAAAAAAACTTATAATTCCTTTATCCAAGTTATTCCAATAATTAAAAGATTTATTTTTATTTGAAAAAAAAAGGATGTCTAAGAAACATACAAAAATCTAAAAACAAAATTTGTTATCCTTTAAACTCTAAACTTTTACGGATCACTGCGAATTTTGTGTGCGTTATGATTCAATGCTCGATCGATACTAAGAATTCGCTGCGATTCTTGTACTTGAAAAAGCTTTAATAATATTGTAGAACGAGCAAAACCATTAGTGCTTTTTAATGTGCGATCGTTGCTTTAGATGCTGCGTATGGAAATGGATAATTGATATTTTTAATTCATGGGTTGCTATGAAAAGTTAAAGTTTAAAAACTAACATTACAAAAACTTAATAATTAAGGCTACAAAAGGTTGTGATTTCTCAGCAATGTTTATTATTAAGACACTTCTTGTAGATAATATTTGATGAGGAACTTGTACTTATCTGGTTCTGAATATTTTCCAATTTAACACAGTTTTCTTATTCTAAAAAATACTTCAATCAAACAAATTAAGCTTTTATGGCTCCCTAAATCAATTAAAAAGTAATCTTAACAAGGCCCTGTATTGGGTAAATAAAGTGATTTATTTTGGATATATATTTACTCACCTTGCAAGCACCATCTACACACACAGCACGGCTCCAAAGGTGCGATCGGTAGTATTCCGCTGGGTGTCTGCAGGGCGTTCCATCGATTACAGATTCATTAAGTGTGGCAAATGATTTCATTCCAGATGGCATGCAGTTTAGCTCACATTCAGCATCATCTAGCAATAAAATATAAAATATCATGTAACTTATATTGAATTTAACTTTAAATAAAATATCAAAACTTCGGAAATATATAATTCAATTTAAGAAATAAGTATAATTCTATAGAAAATGTTCAAGTATATATAGACAAACCCTTTATATAAGGTTCCCACGTATATCGATGACCATGAAACTCTATATCGTTGTAACTCGTACACTGAGATGCTCGAAAATCTGGGGATTGTCCATCGCAGGGCACATCATTACAAAGCTGATACCGCTTGAAGTAGCCCACACAGGCATTACTCGTAAGCTGATTATTCGTTGTTGGGTTTCTATAAATAAAATCCATTAAAATAAATTTTAAAATATAGAGAATAAAAATATGAAATTCATTTTTAAATATAAAAAGATGATATCAGAAAAGTTATCTATAACAAAATATATATTCCAAGTTCATATTTAAATATTTCTGAGGAAAACCGTACAAGTTTTAATGGATTTCAAAATGAGTAAATGTTCCTAGCTTTCCATTTTAGGTGAATTAATGAAAACTAATGATCGAGTGTTACTACTAAACCTCTGATAACAAATAAAAACCAAATATTATAGTCCCATAACTCACCGGTTAATGCATTTTCGCATTTGATACATCACGCCTCCGCCACAACTGCGCGAACATTCGCTCCAGCTACTCCACTTATCCCACCGTGGATATGGATACACTTTCTTCCTCAGCTTCTTTGTGGTCATAACTCTCATCGGGTTTGGGGAGGAGAAGACCTCCTCTACGACACTTGGAGTTTGTTTTGTCGTCCCAATATTGCTACTTTCAGTTGGTTTCAATGCTGTTGCCAATGTTGTTGTCTCCGGATGGGGGGTAGATAGTGACACGTC